TTGCTGGGGGAGGGGTCGCCCCCCCTACCCCCGCCCGATCACACACACACACACACACACACACACACACACACACACACACACACACACACACATACTTGCGAGGGGTTTCGAAGCGTTTTTTTTCTTTTTTTTCTTTTTTCCGTTTTATTTTTTGTTCTGCAATAGAAAACAACAATGCCCCCCAAAAAAATATGGGCGTGTAGGGTTTTTTCAACTTTTTTGAGCCCTACATGCCCATTTTTTTTTTTTTGTCATGCGTTAGAATTTTTTTTTTTAATATTGCACCGAACTTGGCTGGTCGGCCGAGGCCGAACCTGACCGATTTGGCTGTCGGCCGAGGCCGAGGCCGATTTCCCCCCCCCGGCCGCGGCCGGGCGTGCAACATAGGCCACCCATGCATCGTCACTCCTATGGACGTGGCCGCATATAGGTCGTCCAAGTCAGTTGGCAAAAGACCCAACTCCCACCTTCCGGCCTTTTTTAGGATAGGGAGGGTAAGGGTTTTGTTTCCGTTATGCAGCTCGGTGTTATCGAGGCCTTTTTCGATCAGATGTCTCAGTTTCTCCCTTTTTTAGGGTTCCGTGTTCGACACGGGCGGGGGACCCCCTTCACCATCTCTTTGAATCGGTTGAGATGGGGGGGGAGGAGGGGGAGGTGTGGTATGTGGCTATGCCTCGCCGGGAGAAGGGTGCTCGGGGGCAGAATCAGGGCGTTATGTCGGAGGGGGAGCGAATAGCTTTACTACTATACCCCAAATCCGATGTAGCGTTTGTTGCAACGTGGACCCCGCGGCGGTCCTTGCTCCAATACCTGTCTTAGGCTGGTGCTGCTAATTAATACTAAGAATACGTATACATACACTTCATCCCAGCGGTCGTGTGTATCGTGTGGATACAATCTTTCAAGACGGGTCATTATCCATTCCGCCAGACTCTTTGGCTTGGTGTCTGCCTATGAATCCCCCACGACCGCGATCGCCGCGGGCACAACCGCGGGCTGCGGTTGGGGCCACGTGGCCGCGGTCATGACCGTGGCGACCGCGGGCAAAAACGGGTCACCGCGGCCGAGGGGAAAGGGGTGTGGGAAAGAGGGTTGCGGATTGGGGTTCCGGAACCCCGACCCCACCCCCTTGAACAAAAAAAAGTTAAAAAAAATATTTTCAGGGGGGTGTGTTTTTGGTGTGTGAAAAAAAAAAAGAAAAAAGAAAAAACGAAAAAAAACTTGATTGATTGATTGGTTGATTGATTGATTGATTGATTGAATGATTGATTGATTGATTGATTGATTGATTGGTTGATTGATTGATTGATTGATTGATTGATTGATTGCGGGGTCCTGAGGCTCC